GGGTTTTGTGTTTTAAAAAAGTCCCGAAAAGGGTAAGATTATATTTGAACAGCCCCATAGGTTTTCAATTTCCTCCTCTTCACCATCATTCTATTCTCTTCTTCATCTTCCTTCTCCCTTCCTCCACCATCACCTCTTCCTTCTTCTCCCCACCATCATCATTCACCCTCTCTTTATCATCATCACCACCATCACCTCGTCATTATCATTACCACCATCACTGCCAGCATCATCATCTCATTCACCAACATCACTACATGTACCACACTCACAAGAAGGGCGGCCATTTTGGAGTTAACGCTTTTCGCCTTGGGAATGCCTTTAAAATGTTCCTCCTTCCTTTGCACTGAGCAGATTTTTGATAGAGGTGTAAAATATATATTTTTTTGGTTCACAATGATTAATCTATTAATTATTGTGATGCAATTTCAGGGTACAGGAACACACATATATATGTTTTTTTACATTCAAATATCAAAATTTTGCTCAGTACGATTGACCATAGTATCCACCAATTTTCATGCAATTTTGTTAGAGAGTAAGAAGCCTTCGGTTTTTTAAAATTATTGTTTGTTTTGCATGTTGGTGCTGTTTCCATTCCATGGCAACTTTCATATTTTCGGACTTATCAAAATTTACTTTCTCCATTATTTCTTGCCTGTATAATTTTTTTTCCTAAATATGAATCGGAAAAAGAATCACCCTTGGGGTGAGCTGTTCCCCGTAAAAATGGACAGTAATAATATGAGCACATTAGAAAACAAAACACAAAAACTTAAAAAATGTGATCTATTTTATTATTTGAAAGAATCCCACAACAACAAGGTCCAGAATAAAGACTATAATTATGAAAATACTAATAATAGAGGACATTTAATTATAGTGTCTTACTTTCGGTTTTAACCAGCTCAAAGTACGTTACATTAGTTTAGTCAGAGCGAGCGGGTAACGGACGGCCATGAGAGCGAACTGCGAACCTCAAGACAGTTCGTTTTTTGGGGTCCGCTCCATAATTTGACTCTCAGCGAGCGGACTGCAGATCTCAAGCCAGGTCGTTTTTTGGGTCTGCTCCACAATTTTATTCACTGGGCGGGCGGGCAAACGGACGAACTCTAGCAGACGAGATACTCGACGCGAGGTTAGGCCCACGGTCTTTGTTTGTTAATTAGGCCTAATGTTTCAAGCCACTAGCCTAGCGGTGCCACAAGGAGTGAGA